AAAAAAAAAACAAAAAAAAAACAACCAGTATGGGCTCCAGCTGTGTGAACGTGGGCAAGTTACTTAAGCCTCTCCAGTCCTCTCCTTGTCTGTAGAAAGGGGACACAGACAGAAGCTGTGAGGTCTTACATAAAATAATCCCTCAGCACAATGCCTGGTACATGGTAACAGAAACTTCAGTTGCCTAGCACAGATTTAGAAAGATTAAACTCAAGTCCTAACCAATCGAAGACTAGTGCTCTGAGGCAGGCAAAAAGGTGATGTGGAAGGGACTTAGACACAGTGCTCACCCCTGGTTGCACTCTATGTATCTCGCTGCAAACTTCTCCATCAATCGATCAATCTTCTGGGCTTCCCCAGGTAGGCGGAAACCTTCCAGAAATGTCCGCAGGGCTGAGACAAACTCCTTTTCACAGAAGTCAAGTTGGTCCACGTAGGCATACATCACTTCCTTGTTGAACCTCGTGCTCTCTCCCAGAAAATCACCTACTTGGGTCTGAAACATATGCACCCACTCACATCTAGAAACTGTCACACGTGAACCCACAGTAAGGCACACTTCAGGCAGAGCGGAGAAGGCAGAACACCCTGCTCTCAACACCCAGAACAGGCTGGCCCACTAGAAAAGCTGGGCGACTCCGAGCCTGCCCACCCGCCCAACCGGTCCGGGCTCAGGCTATCCTGCCGTGGACGAAGCAGGAGGAGGCAGCACGAGAGACTTAAAGATGGGAACACGATGAGACATACTCAGGAGGGAGGTTAGCTGCAGATGAGCAGCCAGAAGTCTCCTGCAGTCAAAGGACACTTCTAGTTCTGACGCTGTTCCACCAAGAACACAACTACCTCTTGGGAGCTTTTTGCAACGCTGGAGCAAGTAGGACTGCTGTCAGCAGGGGTGTGGACAAAAGCCACTGCACTCAGGGTCAGTCACACTGTAGGTTAAAGCCGGAAGGGTCTCAGAATCACCTGATAAAACCTACACGCAAGTGCCCCACCCCGAGGCTTACAGAATCAAGGCGCTCCTCCTGGTGCAGGAATTGGGCAATATCTTCGACGGACGTTCCCAGCATGCCCTGCTCCTGAAGGAACTGGATCCCTCTCTTGGGTTTCTTGTTGAAACTGTTTCGAGAAGAGATAGGACATGGGTTACTTATTTCAACGTCTGGAGAACAGAAAAAGCTGGCATCTGGGCCATGAACAAGTCACGTTTATGAGCTTAGGAAGGTCGTGTGTGTCCTGGCAGCTTCTCCAAATTCCGCCTTTAATTTCTGACCTAGCTGTAGCAGAGTCTGATGGCTGTCACCCAACATCAGTTCTCCTCTTCTCCCACATGAACAGAACTCAAGGATGTTTAGCCGGGCACACGACTACCTGAAATAAAAACTACATTTTCCTGCCTCCCTCAAACAAAGTATGGCCATGTGATAAAGTTCTGGCCTGTGACTTAAGAGCAGAAGCGGTGTGGGTACTTTCAGGAAGGAGCCTTAAACAAAGCTGGCTTGGCTGGGAGATATATTCTTTTTGCCCTTTCTTCTTTGTTCCCTAGGATATATGTGACGGCTGGTGCTCCAGCAGTCACCTTAAGCCATGAGGTAACACGGAAGGTGAAAACTGTGTTAAGGATGGTGAAGCAGAAAAAGTAAAAGAGCCTGGATCTCTGATGTCCCTAAGAGCCAATATAAGAGCCCTAGACTGTCCATGTTGGGATTTCCTTTACCAGTGCTTAAGTACTGTTTGTATTTCCTGTTAAAGGTAGGCATACTTAACTTTGTATAAATTCAAGTCACTATTTACCAGGCCCTGCACTGGAGAAGGCTACTCACGTGTCAGCACGGACTGGGGCAAAGGCTACAAGGGAAGGACATGGATAGTGTGCAAGCAAGAGCAGCTTGGGACCTGTGCAGACAGGTGGCTCCCGAAGGCCTCCTTGAGGAAGAGAGGTTTTGCCAAGTCTTAAGGAGGAAAAAGACCCACGAGTATTCCAAGCAGAGGGCATGATGGTGAAAAGAGCTTGAGGTATTCAAGGGACTGAAGTGTATCTTACGACATGGATACTGGCAGGAGGATGAGGTCAGTGAGGGGGACCCAGAGGTGGGATCAGGCTGTGATGAGGAGAGAGACACCTGGAATGATTGTAGGCAGGGGAGTGGTATGACCTGATTTAAGTTTTTAAAAGATTAGCTCCGGGAGAACAGACTGGGGAGATGCCAGTCTGGGGAGAGCGGAAATAAGACCAACACTTCAATTAATAAGTGACTATTCTAACATCAACTTTTTTTTTTTTTAATATTTATTTACTTTTGAGAGAGAAAGAGAGACAGAGTGTGAGTGGATGAGGGGCAGAGAGGGAGGGACACAGAATCCAAAGCAGGCTCCAGGCATTGAACTGACAGCACAGAGCCCAACGTGGGGCTCGAACTCATGAACGGCGAGATCGTGACCTGAGCCGAAGTCAGATGCTTAACTGACTGACCCACCCAGGTGCTCAACTATTTTTTTTTTTTTAATGTTTTATTTTTGAGACAGAGAGAGAGCAAGTGAGCATGAGCAAGGGAGGGGCAAAGACAGAGGGGGACAAGGATCTGAAGTGGGCTCTGTGCTGACAGCAGAGGGCCTGATGCAGGGCTCGAACTCACAAACTGTGAGATCACGAGCCGAACTTGGACACTCAACTGACTGAGCCATCCAGGCACCCCTAACATCAACTTTTAAAACAAACTGAATTTACTAAGTTAACCAATCATTCAAAATTTGGACAGGATGTAAAACTGTGCTTATATATTTTTGTGTGTGAAAGACTGGAAAGAAATACATTAAAATTACCAATGATTGTGATAATGATGATGTGCTTATATGGGAGAATGTCCTTCTTTTTCACAGATGTAGGGCTGAGGTATTATGATGGGTGCAAATTACTTTCAAATGGCTCAGAAAAAAAGATACATAGATAACCCTAACAGGGTAACATTAATTCTTCTGTGTGTTGAAATTTTTCATAAGATATAGTTGGAAAATAGTTATCAACAGTGATTTCCTCTACATGATAATTTCATGAATGATTAAACATTCCTGTGTTGTACTTCTATTTTCTGAATTAGTTTAACTTCTTTCATTAGGAAAAATAAAAATAAAAAGACCAGGCATCAGTTACACAAAGCTATTCAATTTCAGTCTCGATGTCCCTCTCCCTCTCCCACTCACTCCCTCTGCCTGGCTCAGTCGGGCTCAGCTGCAAGTGCCAGCACTGTCCTTTTGTGATAGGCATTCCCCTTGTGGACTCAGTCCCAGGGGGGATGTGGCTTTGTCAGAGGCCCCAAGAGATTCGGCTGGAGTAGCAGCCATACTCACAGCTCGATGCCGTGTTCAATAATCTCCTTTTGTTGCTTGATGACCTCAAACTGCTCCGGATCATCTTGGACAGCCATCTGGGTCCCTGAGGACACTGTGGACTCCATGGATGTCACACTGCTCCGTCTGGCTATGTCAAGGCCTTTCCCGTCCCCCATTTCCTGATCTGTGGGCCTCTCCTGACCTGACATAAAAGCAAAGGAAACCAAATAAGCAGATGGGATACAGACACACCTGAGCTCAGATGGGGCTCTGTGGTTTCCTTTCCCAGACCTGTAACAATAAAGCTTGTACTGGAAGAATCACAAGAATGAAAACTTGATTATTACTCAGATACTTAAAAACTTACTTTTTTGTCGAACTTGATAAGCTAATTCTAAAAAGTACAGAAACTGTCAAGACACTTGAAGAGCAGTGGCTAGGAAGACCTGCCCTAACAGGTACAAACTCACTAAGAACTCAAGGCATCTGAAAAGGCTGGTATTGGCACAAGAACAGACAAATCCATGGAACAGAATAGAAAATTCAGGAACAGGCTTCCTTCTGCAGGGAAATGCGTGTATCATAAAGGTGGTGCTTCAAGGTGGTGAGGGAAGGAGAGACTACTAAAAATATGTCAGAACAACTGTCTCTCCATTTGGGAAAATGACATTAGAGCACAACTCACACTATTCCCCCCAAATTCCAGATGCATTAAAAAGCAGAAGCTTTCAGGGGCGCCTGGGTGGCGCAGTCGGTTAAGCGTCCGACTTCAGCCAGGTCACGATCTCGTGGTCCGTG